TATTTTCCTAGTCTCCCCCCTCCCTCCCCATAAAAAATTACTTCTAATTCTATCAATAGATTTCACAATACCTTTTGGAGCGAGGTAGACTGATAGGAGAAAAACAGGGAGTGACGTGAGCACAGAGTTGAGAAGTGTGATCCTGCCACCGAACGACAACCACCTATTTTTCCAACCTGACAATTTCTTCTTTATTGAGTCAATTAAAGCCTGCCACATTCTTAAACCCTTTTGGTTTCCACCTACAGGCACTCCTAAGTATTTGAAGGGCATTTCACCAACTTCACAATTTAAAGACCAAGCCATTTTCTGTAGCCATTCCATATCTGTATGAATACCAAGTAGTTGGCTTTTATGGTAATTGATTTTCAACCTAGATGTGAGCTCAAAAGCCCGCATTATGCATTTTACAGCCCATATGTTTTCTTCTCGAGCTTCCCCAAAGATAATTGTATCATCCGCAAATTGTATATGGGAGAATCGGACTCCATTATTGCCTATTTTCACTCCAGTAAATAACCCTTGCTCCATTACTGACTTGATAATTCCATTCAATCCCTCAGCCACAATTAGGAATAAGAATGGGGACAGGGGATCACCTTGTTTTAGCCCCCTCGAAACTCCAAATTGTCTAGTCGGACTCCCATTCACCAATACTGACAACAAACTGGTTTGAAGGCATTCCATGATCCATTTTCTCCATATCTCACTAAATCTCATTCTCATCATCATATAATTCAGAAAATTCCAATTAACCTTGTCATAGGCCTTCTCAAAATCCACCTTGAAAAAGAAACTCTTCATCTTCTTTTTCTTGGCTTCATCAATAACTTCATTTGCTACTACCACTCCTTCGCATAATTGCGTGCCTTCTATGAAAGCCATCTGCTTCTCCCCAATGATGTCTCCCATTACTGTGCGTAGTCTAGTGGCTAGTAATTTTGCCATGATTTTGTACAAAGCTCCAATGAGTGAAATTGGCCTATATTCTTCTATGGTTATATCCCTGATTCAGTCCCTTAACTTTCATTTTTGGACTAAAATTACCCTTGAACTTCAAAAAGTACTAAAAATATCCTTAAACTTCAATTTTTGAGACCAATTTAGTCCTTCCGTCGATGGAAGTGCCAGATGTCACGTTAAATTGCCACGAAATCAATTTTGGTTGAAAATCTTAATGACCTGTAAAATAAAACAATATCCTTTTCGCCACTGAGGCATTTTTCCATTTCCACATCAGAAATTTTACAGACATTTTCCACTCAATTTTCCTTCACTTTCCCATAAACCAAACAACAAAAATTCATTCCATCCAAACTAAATTCAAATCCCGAGGCTTCGAACCATCAAATCTTCGACAAAACCACCAAATTCAAGCTACAAAAAACACTAATATGGAAAAAACTCATTGCTTTGCACCACCAAATTCAGAACAAAATCACCAAATTCAGAACAAAACCACCAAATTCAGAACAAAACCACCAAATTCATCTCTAACCCGCACATCGATTCCTCATAGAAAGGACTTCATCTCTAACCCGCGCCTGGGTTCCATCGAACCCAGGCGT